CCCTCTGTACAGATGTCTGTCTTGAGTTACTGTGTACCATAAGGCGAGACTTATTTATACCTTGTTTAGTGAACCTGCCGACTGCAAATATTGATGATTTCAAAGAAAAATAAAATTATATTTTTTGCCAATTAATGCACCAGCTGCCACGAAAAAATAAAAGTTTTGCTTTATTTTTATTACGCTTCCACTGCCTTGACATTTTCAAAGATATGTATATTTGTTCCTAATTATATAAATTTGAAGCATTTAACCATCCTATTATACATTCACCAATAACATTTTTATTTCCTCCTCCATCTTGATGATTTTGGCAAAAATAATGGCTAAATAAGAAAATAAAATTTTCATTTTTATTCCGCCGTCCTCCGATTAAACTGTGTATAAGTACAGTACTGTATGTGAAACACGGAATGAAAAAAGTCTCGCCTAAACAATAAGATTCAATATATTTGAAATGCTTTATTTGCAATCAATTAAGAGGTAGAATGAAAAAATAGTTGAAGGGTTTTCAAAGTTTTATTATCTGAATTGCTTTAGAGGAGATATAATTTTTCCTTGCTTTTCAGATAATTAAAAAAAAAAACAAACCAGATGCTAAATTTTTAGTTTATTTTACCTATTTTTGAAGTTACGTCAGGGATGTGAAGTGTCCCGCAAGTCTCCGGATTTATCTTACAATAACCAAATGTTTGAAAGTTTGCATGGCAAAGCAATAATGTATTAAATACTTGTGGTACACCACATAGTGGTGTATCGCAAGCATTAAACGTACTGTAATAACCATATGGAAACTAAATTTTATACTAATTTTTAAGTTAAGTAGTGTACATTCTTATGACTTTAGTGTTAAAAGTGTGATCTTTATGTCACTTGAAAACAAAATGGAATAAAATGAAATTGTTTTTTTTTTTATTTAAGTACAGAAAAGACAACAATCACATTCAATAAAAATAAACAACAAATACAGAAACCAGATAAAATATAGTAAGATCTCAATTGTAAAAATAAAAAAAAAAAATTTTTTTAATTGTATTTCCTTCTTGCCAAGCCTACGAGAATAAAAATATTTTATTTTATTGCAGGAAGTCAACATTTACGACGTCGAGAGACTCGTGTTCCCTAATCTGAACACGGAGGATAAAAAAGCAATCTTGCCTCTCATCAAAGAAAAGCAGATGTACCACAAGTTAGGTAGTTACTGAAAAAATATAGAAACTTTTGCATGCGAAATTTTTTACAGAGAATTCTGTAGAAAATTTGTTCTTAACGCTTTAAACTTGGACAGATGGCATATACTGTATTGTATTGATTTTATTGATGAGTAAATAGAATTTTAAGTAGATATCACATGATGTCTTCATCTTATAAACACTTTCCTCTTTCACATAAAAGCAGAATATGTCTATGTATAGCCTTTTTCACAAAGGAATTCAGAGTCTTTACCTGCCACACTCAGGCAGGCCTAAACAAATGCTAGGATAAAATTGTACTTTTTTACAATTTAGTTGTCTAATTATTAAATGTAATAGATGTTTCACATGTTAAAAGGCTTCAAAAGGTTGCCATGTTCCTTCAGTTGAACATACCTAAAATATGCTTTTGTCATTTTACTCTAGGAAATGGAATCAACCGTCCTCTGAGAAATATCTACTACCGATGCAGAAAATTATTTGATAAAAACAACTATAAAGGAGTGTAAGTTGAAATTTATTTATTTTGTTATTTTTTGTTTTCAATTTATTTGATACATGAATACTTTAAAAAAAAACAAAAAACCAGAGAATTCATCATGTAGATTGATGCAAGTCATAGCTTCTTTTTTTTAATTTAATTTTTATATTTTTATTTGTTGAGCTAAAAACATTATAATGTGAATGACACTCCAAAAATTGACAAGGCTATTTTATTTTATGTTTCGCTTTTATTTAAGCATCTTAATTATTCCTGATGATGCTTAAACAAAAGTTTTTTGAGTGACATTCATATTACTTGTTCCTAAACTCAGTGCACATCCTAATGAAAGCATTATACTAACTACTAAATCCTTTCTGAGCCACTGGGGCTCATAGGGCTGGAGCTTATCCCCAGTTTCTGTAGAGTGAAGCGGATGAGAGTTGTACTCCCCTTGGACGGGACACTAGTCCATCGCAGGTTAGTCCCCAGCAGTTTGCTGGTACCCATTGATACAGCTGGGTGGACTGAAGCAATATAGCTAAAGTGCCTTGCCCAAGGACACAAGCGAATCTGCATAGCAGAGACTCGAAACCCCGACCTTACGATTGAAAGCCCAAAGCTCAACCGCTGCGCCAAACTGTCACTACCATGAAAGTATTATACTCTTTCTAAAGTATTGATATTCCTAAAAATCTGTCATTTAGGTTTAGTGACCATGAGGTGAAGACCATTTTACGTCTGCAAAATAAATATGGAAACAAATGGATCAAGATAGGACGGCTGATTGAAAGGAGTGGCCCATCCATACAAAGCAAGATTCGCTTTGGTATAAAAGATAAAAGTAAGAATATGATAAAAAATAAACCATGCGCATTTGAGGCTTGTCATCACCAGCATCAGTGACCGAAAAATGAAAATTTGCTTTTTAATATATTCTTATTCTCCACATTGAATTGGCTAAATTTATGAGTAAAATATATGGCTTCTCTGTACCAAAGTATACAATACTGCCACGTTCATGCTAATTTACTCAGTTTAAGAATTAGAGACACTATGCTGTTTTTGGAATGGTAAGCCTCATTTATCAAATTAATAGTATCTTGACTTTTTGTAAGATAAACATTGTGCGGTTTAATGTCAACATTATATTGTATTAAAAACCTATTTTTGAAAAAAAATGTTTAATGTTTGCATGAAATATTAGCATAAAATGAACCTTTTTTTTTAAAAAATATTTTATTATTTCTGGTATATTTCATAAAACAAAACAAATTACATAGCAAGGTTACATTACAATAAAAAAAAACCAAAGAAAAAGTAAGCAACTATGGATAGTTACCATACATTATTCAAGAAACAAAATGATTGGTGATTCATAATTCTACAAAATGCATAACATAAAAGAAAATTTCAGTATATAGGCCTATCTACATTATATAAAATGAACCTAGCCGAGCCAATGCTATGATGACTTACATGTTTACATCATTGCAGCTATCGGTGCATGGTCAAAGAAGGAGAGGAAACAGCTGATAAAAGCTGTGAAAGAGCACGTCTCAGAAGATGCTGGACCAGAGGCCTGGTATTACAACATTCCATGGGAAAAGGTGCAGAAGAAGGTGCCAACAAGAGAATCTCGACAGTGCAGGGGTGAATGGTAAGTTACATTTGTTTTTACTACCATCCACTTGAACATTGAGTGAACAAAGATTAGCATTTGCTGGACATTGCTACAGAAGCAAAAATGAAGTTATGTCAAGGGTTCTCTTTTGGAAACCAACCCATCGGAAGAGGAAGCAAGGATGACCTCCGATTACATACGTTGTACCAATTAGATAAATATCTAAACACACAGTGACAGTACATTCCACAACTCATGGAAAACAGAGATTTGTGGAGAACAGTTACAGAAAAATTTGACCTTTGCTTTGCACACCGGGTATGCCTGATAAAGAGAGAGAGCAGCATCCTTAGAGATATCAACAAACTTGCTAAACCATTTCAAAGTGACGTTTGTCTCTGGTTATAGGTTGATGATTCTGAGCAGTTTAGCCCAGGGGACCATGGCTCCAGAACTTGACAGCTGGGACAAAAGTGATAATGTCCAACTGATTGAAAGGTACTTTATTAGTAATCTTGCCTGATAATGAAACCATTTTAGTATATGTGGCAAAGACAAGCCAAACCAGTAATGCTAAAAGATCATTTACATCCAGCATTTTGTTATGAAGTTACAATAGTGTAAACATACAGCTGTTTAAAGAACGTCTTTAAGAAGTCAGCTTTCAAAGTTTATGATTTTAGACATTAAAAAATGTTTTTTAACATAAAAAAAATGTAACAACATAGCATGGTGTATAGATGTATAAGGTTTAGTTTAGTGCAATATTATAATTTTGAAAATCTTAACATTCCAACATGTTGTGGCCATTATCTTTAAAATACGATTTGCGAGGCATTATTGGTTTGGCTTTTCTTCTCCACAATATGCGTTTCAGTGCTCTGCCTAAGCATTATGGGTGTGAATTATGGCTTGAGTATAATAAAATTGATATGGTTCCAACTTAAACCTTATATTTTCTTTAGAATTTATGAAATGAATATTCATGATGAGGAAGAAATTGATTGGTTGGCCCTCATGCCAGAATTTGAAAAGTGAGTATTCAACATTGGTTATGTGTAGAATACAAATATTTTTCAGTATTGGAATCATAACCTATGTAATTTAATTATTGACATTCTTATTTTTGAAGAATTATACCTAATTACTTATAAATAATGTTTTCACTATGTGCAGTATAAAATTTTAGAGCATAAAAGCTGTATTTTGATAGACCCCCTTTGTAATTAGCTGGAAAGGTATACTGTGTGTAAGCAGTGGCGGGGGCCAGCGGAGGAATTGACCCAGATGGACAGTCCACTCCCTGTCGTACAACATCCCAACTAGGTCTTCATGGTCTTAGGACCAAAAATGTAAATTTGCCTATCAAGATAACATTATTTCCATTGCCAATCCCGAATATTGTTGTCTTAAAGCACCAAAGCCTAAAGGCCAACTCAGACAGCGTCATACCAAGCAGACCGAACGAATTTGTTGTTGTGTCGGGTCTGCGTGAGTTAAGCCGGGCACTCACTGATTGTCGGTGGCAATCTGAACAGATCATCATTAAAAGCAATCCGTTGTGTGCACGTCTTGTGGTTGCGTTCTACATAGAATCACACCGGCCGTTGGGCGCAGTGAGTTCTCTGCTTTAAACGCAGATGCATGGGGGGGGGGCAGTCGCGTCATAGATTATTAAACATGTTTAATGCTTCTTACGGCGGCTTAAGACTGTCCCTAACAATAAATCGCGTAGAGCTGCGTCATATGCCACTGTCTAAGGTGGCCTTAAGCTACTTAAACTTTCCCCATGGAACAGCAATAGAGATTTTATTTTGGGATCTTCACCCTTTAGTGAGAACCCCCTTTTGTACTTGTTAGTCCCTCTGTTCGCAATTTTCTGGAGCCACCACTGTCTATAATATAGTTAAAAGGTGAAAAAAAAGATGAAAAAAAAAAAACTGGTCACAGAATTTGGCGATAGTAAGAATTTGCACACTTACATTTTTGTTACATTAATTTTATATTTATTTTTTATAGAGCAGTGTCCCCACAGAAGCTGCGGTATCGCTGGTATATAATCAAAAGTACCTATGTTCCAAGACATTCTTACAAAACTTTAGATGGTATGTTTGTATTAAATAAAAAGATGATGCTAATTCAAAAAAAAATATTTAATGACTTTTTTCCTAATTTGTAACCCTTATTTATCACCGACTACAAAAATGTTCTCTTTCAGAAATTTTAGATTATGTTGGGGACGAAGTACTTCCTAAATTAAGAGAACAAGTGAAGAAGATGAAAAGGAAAAAGAAAGAAAAGAGAAAAAGGAAACTACAAGTACTTCGCAACCAGTGTAATGAAGAAAGCGACACAGTCAATTGATCATCCCTACATCTTTGCTTCCATCCATTCGAAGTCTGTGTACATTCATTACTAGTCTGTGTACAGTGACAGTGTCAGACATCTCGACAGGGGGGTCACATCTACCTGGGCCTCATTATGGTTGTGGTGACGAGAGCGAACTTCAAGTATAGACACTTATAATAGATGCCCAGAAATGGTACACTCAGACTGCAAAAAAAAACGCTTTTTAAAAGGCTCAATTTTTCTGACTAAATGATTAGCTTCTTCCCCTACCATGGCCCAGGGTTCTCTGATGAGGGGGTCCTGTACCTCTCCTTGGGTCAACCCCTGCTGGCATCGCAACTTTCTGTGAAAATGGCCGCTCTCCCTGCCAATCGTTTTGCTTTGAGATGAAATTTAACTTACACCCCTAAGGTTTATAGTCATACATAATTTCCCTTGCACTATAAAATTCATCCCAGCATTTTAACTACAGTAGTAGATCAGTGGTTCATTGCTATATCACTCAAAACCCATGTAATACTCTTGTATTTCTGAAATTGATTTTTTTTTTTTGTAGAATTGGCGCCTTTAACTCAGCAATGCTGTTAGGGTCACCTTCATTAAATAAAGGTGAATAAAATTAAGCCAAAACCATATTATTACAATGTACAGTTGTATGTAAATTTTTAATATGAAAATTTTAATCTTACCAAATCGTGTAATAAAATTTATAATTGTCTTTTAACGTCATATCTGTTTGTCTTTGATTGTTACAAGACTTGGACTTCGATAGGTATGCTCCTGTAGTCCAGTACAAATCTCAACTGAACTGCAAAGGTTCCAGCTTAGGTAGAGGTTTGATAATGCAAGAGTGGTGATGAATGAATGATTCCTGAGAGTTTTTGCATTTTGTTTTTGCCTGTTTCTTCCCCACTCGTTTAATTTATTATAAAAAGAAAGTGAAAAAAAGGTGCCACCAAAACAATATTATGAGATGCTAACGCATTGTGAATTACATAGATCATTTTCAAGAATGACCTGATCAGACAGCCATCTGCATGGCATTAGGTCATACAAGCACACATGTAGAGCATAGGGGTATTTGTATGCTGTGTAGTAGTATAGACCAAACTTTTAAACACAGACCTGATGTACAATCCTGAGATCTGCCATAATACAAATCTTTCCGCATGGGATCAAGGTTGTGGTGAAAGGGGTTCTTGGCAGCAAATGAAAATACCCCTCTCAAATCCACGCCTTCAAACCATAGGTACTCAATTGGTGCTCGCACCTCCCTCCCTGGCAGAAACATCTGGATCCCCTGGAATCGGGACAAAGTCTTGATGAAAACAGCATATAAACAACTAAATATTCAGATTTTGTAAATACATTTCAGACATTTATTAATTAAAATGAAGAAACAATGTTTTGAATCTGCTTCCCTGCAAACTACTGTACTAATACTTATAATCTAGAATGCTATTAGACATAAATTAGTGCTGTTTCTTATAGTTATCTATATGTACATTTTTATCATGGAACTACAACTCGACACTTTAAATTATTCAGTTACATTCAGTTGTATTTTTTTTATACAAGTCTACATGATTGTTCCATTTATCAAGGTCATGACCTTTTATAGAAAATTTGGTCATCCTGTGCCATAAAAAAAAATTCTATATGCAGCTCACCAAAAACTTCAACATTACCAGATGTACAATGACACGCAGCTGTGCAACTGCACACCTGTGACTTCATATTTACATAACAGGTGCAACCTGCCTTTTGATATTTTGATATTTAATTTATTTATGTTTACTTACAGAAACTTTTATTGGACAGAGCTTCACTTACATTATAAATTTTTCTTATGTTTTAACCAGCAAAATTGTTGGCAGTTCACTACAGGTGTAGAATGGATGGAAAACATACAGCAAGTTTAAAATACCTCCTGTACAAAGTTGATATTTACTTTCCCTTTTCACTCTTATGTTGACAGTTGAGTTACAACAAGATGGTAAACATCAGAAAAAAATAATACACAGGTATTTACAAACTAAATAAGAGTAATGATCAACCTAGAGTGCATACGATCTATTCATTTAAAATATATAATTAGAGAAAATTTATTATACAACAGAGAAGGTACACACAGTATTTTTAAAATTGTTTATATTCTTACACACCATGGTAATGTATTGTCAGCTAATTACTGAAACCTTGTAAATCAATTAAATTAATACTAAAACCAATTAATAACCATGATTAATTAAACGTTCAATCACTGAGGAAATTAATGGTAATTAATTAAAATGACAACACAGACTGGAAAAACACAGGGATGCTAAAAATATATGAATACATATTTTAAAGGTACTGTATTATATTGAAACAATCTTATAAGATATGGTTTAGTAGGTGAGCACCAACAATTAGCATCCAGCATCATTGGTTTAATTCCATGCACACAATGTTGATATTTTATCAAGATTACATTTAGAAAGTAATAAATTGATATTAATAAACATACATTTAAATAAGAAGTGTACTTTGTATGATACATTCAAAGTACTGTATACATTTTATCTAAACAATTAATTGTCGATAACTGTTTTATGTTTTAAAATTAATTTTAGTTATTTACTGAATAACATGATTGATGCAACTTTTGTTGATATTAAATAATAATTCAATTAAAGTTTCTAGCTAAAATTTTATTTTTATTACATATTTAGAAATAATATTCAAATTAAGTTTCAAATAAAAATAATAAATGTTATTTACAGTACAGTATTGAACAGTAGTGAACTGCTTATTGTTATTTTGATCCAATTTAAAATTACCAGTTCTGATTTTATTGGGTGAGCATTTTATACAAACAAAAAAGGTTTTAAAAAGTAATGATAAATGCCAGTATAATAACAGTATCATATTATGAAAAACAAATTACTAATATTACAACAATAACAAAAATAATATTCTCCTATAAAATTTGGTTACAGTAGTTCATTGGATGTAAAATGTTACAATAAAGTACATGAATATGTTACCTTTGAAACATTGATCTTATGTTACTAATGACAATAATGTGTACAATAAACCAACCAAAAATATGAGATATCCGAGTGTAATCTATTCATATACTGTAATGTCAATTTCATTGTTATAACCACTATTACTACTGTATATAAGTATAACCAAATTAAGGGGGTTTATTTTTCAAGGGATGGAGTTCCATGTGGGTGAGTGGAATGCCAGGTGGGTATGGCCCCAGGTGGAAGGAATCACAAGTTTTAAGCTAGGTAAGGTGCTCAAACTTCAATGGTATTAATCCAGATACAGGTTGTATCTTGTGGGCTACCAGCATACTGAATCCATACATTCAAACTGTGATAAACAAATATTGGGAGGGTCCAAGATGAAGTTGGGTATTTCTTAAAATTAGGAGAAATTTACTTGGATACTTAAAAGCAGGTTTAACAGTTGGCAGTAGCATACCAAAAAAAAACAGAGTCGTACCAATAATATGTGTGCATTCAAAAAGAATGGTCTGAATTTAATCTCGCACTGTAAACATACCGTTTAATTTACTTTTTCATAATTTTTGCTTTTTAAATTTACGTAACTTTGGATCAAAACAAACATGTGCGGCAACATACCAATAATATCATAGCATTCAGGATAACATAGAGTAGCAACCATTAAGTAGAATGGATCCACTATCAGCACAAACTGCAACCTTTGATCATATACTGTAAAGATGTCAATTTTTCATATTATTCTCTGTATATTTAATACTATAGAATGGATCCACTCAACTGCTCTTTCACCAAGAACAATAGATTATTTCGTAGTGGAACTTTAGATTGGATCCATTGAAAGATGTAATTGATGTCATATATAGTTTTAAGTTCAAGGCGTTGGTGTACAACTGTAGCACCAGTGGGCTACTTCCATATTCAGTACAAATACGCATCAGGATAGGTCCGTAAAACACAAGATAGTTTCCATGAGAAAAATGCTCTGATTTCATAAATTGACAACATCACAGGGGTTGTACAAAAAGTCAATTTATAGAGGGCGTGTTTTCCAGAGTAGCTTCTCTCTAAAGAGGAAGATTTGGAAGACAGGTTTTCAACCCAATGCCCTGTATGCACATACTGTTGTTTCAGATAAAATGTCTGCTGCCCCCAAATTGCTCATGGAACAAAGAAGAGTATGATGACTACTACCATGACGATGAGTAAAGTAAAGATAGCCATCCACTGTCTGCGATCTAGAAAATGTAAAATAAAATAAGTCATGAAAAAAAGCATGCATGGAGATCAGTCCTTAACTTCCAGCTTGTATCAATATATTTTATATTATTGTGTTCTTTATGGTCATGTTACTTTCATCAAGTTTGGTTCATAGAATGAATGCAGTTATTATTCCTTCAAAGTGGTAGATCAAGAAGCTGGATCCTAAAACAATACCATATTTGACAAAATTGGTGCATAGAAAATTACAAACGTTCAATAATAAATTACAAATACTGTATCATAAAAAAAATAAAAAAAACTTCATAACTTTGGAACAATGAGGATGCATGGTAAATTTGGGTATATCTACACAAAACAACACAATGTTACAAAACAAAACTTAAATCATACATACTCTATTGTACAGATTAAACATCAGTACAGTACATTATGTATTTTCCTTGGTCACAGTACAGTACAATTAATTTGTCTGTTACATGTAAAATATTTTAAAGACTTTCGATTTCCTGCTTTTTAATGCAATTCAATGTTGATAATTCAGGGAAATTACTTCCAAGTTATGAAAGTTGGTTAAATTATAAACGACTATGTTTAATGTTTTTTTTGCCTTATGTTTAAAACCCGAGTGCTAATTTCTGTAATTAGAAATCATATTTGTCTTTGTTGTTGCCTTTATTGCTATGGAATGTTATCAAAATAAATCTTGTATCATATATGAAAAAAAAAACTACTGATGCTGATGAATAATAACAATGATATATCGATGAGAATGATGACAATGTTGTTTGTAGTTAATACAGTATGTTGATTGTACTATGCTGACGATACAAATGACGAATATGGTGAATGTGAGCATAATGATAATACGGACGACTGTTGCTTATTAAAATATTTGTCATAAGCTGTGTAATATTAATTAGGCCTTTAAAAAAATCTATAGATGAAATGAGAAAATTGAAACCCTATGTTATCCTAAAACCTGCCAAGATTCATTACTAGTATCTTGTGGACCTGTAATTAACAAAGTAAATGAATTGCTCTGCTAGCAACAAGCCTTAATGATGTATTGATTATTAATTACATAACAAAAGCCAAATAATCAGAAGAGAGAAGAAACCCTACAGGTGAAACTGTCTACAAATTCATGAAGAACATTTTCACACTAAGTATACTGTTTGAAGGTTTGCATGGTGAAGTAATAATATATATTAATGCTTGCGGTACACCACGTAGATAGTTCTGAAAAGAACTGTTGTTGTCAACCTACAACAACAGTTCTTTTCAGAACTATCTACGTGGTGTACCGCAAGCAAGACACATTAAAGTACAGTATAACTACTAAAATATATAAATAGATTAAGTTTACTTTCGATAAAACTTTGTTTATAATTTAAAGATATATTTAAACGTTCATCTAAAAAGATCAAGTTTTTATCAAATGGAATTTCATGATGATTTTAAATCAAATAAAAGTAGAAACATGTGATACATGTGACCTTTTGTTTTAGTACTTCATGGAATTCACTTTGATAACAGTTTTGTAGTTGTACATGTACTGTAGATTATATTCATAAGTATAATGTACATTAATACCACATAAAACCATCAAGATTCTATCTAAACAGATGTACTAGAAACACAAATGCATTTACAGTAGAAAGCTTCAGTTAGCAAAAGTACAGCATCAGGTATCAATACCAATACTCAATTAAGCCTCTAATCAAACATTGTACTAGAATGTCATTATTCAGTTATTATGTATTATATACCTCATACATAGATTCTAGGCATCTGATTGGTTAAGAAGCAGGGCAATAGAAAGTACTATTCCCCTCAAAAAGTACTATTCCCCTAAAAAATAGTACTTTTTTGAGCTGTCGTGATGTGCAAACTCTAGGCCCACTACATTGCACTGCTGATGGTAAAGGGGGACTGCAACCTCTACGACGAGATTATCCCCCTGACCGCGTCACGGATCAGCGAGTAGTCAATAAACAAATATGGAGGCTGCTCGTTTCAAGATGGAGGACTAGCCTAGGCCTAGCATTACTTCTTGATGAAGCCGATAGCAAAAGCACCAAAAGACAAATTAAATATGTCTTATCAATATTCGACAAATATATTGCAAGACGATGGGTGCTGTTGAAATTGAGGAAATGAGCAAAGAAGTGTTAGACACACTCTTTTGATCACCTAGATTTGATCTATTTATTCGGCCTAGCTAGTTGAGTAGTAGTAGTAGGCCTAGTATGCCTCTAATATAACAGGCTAGGAAGTAAGTACTTTTTTAGGCCTTGTAGAATCTACGTATGAGATATATAAAAACAAATATTGACTGCTCTATATTCGCGGAACAGTGAAATCTATTGCCCCTCGGTAATGTGGAGACCGTAGCCTATTTTAGATAGGCTACGGTCTCCGCATCACCTCGGGGCAATATATTTCACCATTTCCCTCATGAGCAGTCAATATTTGTATACTGTAACAATATCAATGTTAGGATATTAAAATACAGTAAAGTATTCTTATTTTATGGGAATACATACCATTAGACATTCTTGTAACTTTTGCCATCTTTTTCATAACTGAATCAAGCTTAGAGTCTGTGTTTTCTAATTCAGCTCCAAAGTCATCAAGCATTCTGGGAAGAAAACAATAGAATGTATCATAGATTACAGAGAAAAATCAAACACTAGGTGAATCAGCAGGTAAAGTAAAGGTAAAGGTAGGAAAGAACCTGTGACTTGCAGCTTTAACTACCTGTAGGCTGAATTGCACAAACATGGACTAACTCATTCTACAACTTTCTTCTCCCCTATAAGGATCACACCATTAAAAGAACGAAGAGACCGAGGAGATATGATCGAAGTTTTTAAAATTATTCATGGTTTCGAAAACATTGATTATAGTTTTTTTACACCTTCACATACTCTACAAAGATTACATATAATACTCGTGGTCATACTTATAAGATTTTTAAACCAAGACACAACACTACATTTCGAGACTCCTTTTTCGATACTAGAGTCATTGATAAATGGAACTGTCTACCTGAGCATGTTGTCAGTATCTCATTAAATCAATTCAAAGCAAAGGATGTACTGGGTTTTTAAAGTGCACACAAGCCAATTTTGTAAACTGGGTCTATTGTTTACAGTAGAGTCCTTATCCGAGAAGACTAGTTCCACCACCAGAACCACTGCTGTTCGAACCAGCACTTGACATTCTGTGTCTTATACACATCTAGATGTGTATAAGAGACAGGTATTAAGAGAACCTTTACATATATGGACAAGGACATGTTTATTCCGCTTTATAAAACTTTAGTTAGGCCACTAATAGAGTATGCAGTTCAGGCTTGGTCGCCAAACTATAAAATGGATATTTTGGCCTTAGAGAAGGTACAAAACAGGCCGACTAAATTGGTTCCAGAACTTCGACATCTTTCTGTTGCTTCAAGAAAAAGTTCTTTGGGGTTATGGCCATTAAAAGAACGAAGAGACCGAGGAGATATGATTGAAGTTTTTAAGATTATTCATGGTTTTGAAAACATTGATTATAGTTTTTTTACACTTTCACATACTCTACAAAGATTTCATAGTACTCGTGGTCATACATACTTATAAGATTCTAAAACCAAGACACAACACCACATTTCGAGACTCCTTTTTCGACACTAGAGTCATTGATAAATGGAACTGTCTACCTGAGCATGTTGTCAGTATCTCATTAAATCAATTCAAAGCAAACTACAACCGACACTTTCAAAACTTGAGAGGAGGCAATTTTTACAAGTACTAAAGCTCCTTGCAATCACTAAGGTAAGAACCATGTCCTATCAGCTGGTAAGAGGCCCATATTCGTCTATCCACAAAATGGGCTGAATGGACCTGCTACTCTTCTCGAAGGATGTACTGGGTTCTTTAAAGTGCACACAAGCCAATTTTGTAAACTGGGTCTATTGTTTACAGTAGAGTCCTTATCCGAGAAGACTAGTTCCACCACCAGAACCACTGCCGTTCGAACCAGCACCGATAGTATGGCTGTAGGTTGACTTGTCATAGTGTGGTGGGGTAAAAGAAAATAGTTGGACCATAGTTTGTCTATTGCTTCGTGGTCTAGTTTTTATTATTTTCTTAACTGTATATTTTTCAGAGGGAGACAAAATGGAAATGTTATGCAACACAGTGATTTGCTTTTTCCATTTCTTCATTTATTCTTTATTTATTGACAAAATGTGGCGGTCAGCACAATACAAACCACAGTGTGGTTGGAGAAAAAAAATCTTAATAGTGAACTATCGCAATTATAGCAGCATGAGATCCTCAACTACTTGGCTTACTTGTACTGTATACAGGATAATATTTCCATTCAAACCAAGGGTTTACTTTATACTATAATACAATAGTATAAAATTACATTACATGAATACAATACTATTTCTAATTGTATATTGTAATTTTGTATCTGAGTATTTTTTATTTAATTGTATATTTTTTTATTTTAATTGAGTTTTCTGAATTTATATTAAATTTTAAGCATTTTTTGTTTGTAAACTGTAATTTGGCAAATATATAATATTTTTATAATAGTTATATTTTTCTACTAGTATATTCGATGTTTTAAACTAAATTGGTCTTTGTATTACCATGTAATTCAGCAGGCTTACTGTAATTTGATATGTTTTGTAATAAATAATAAATAAATAAATAATAACATGCAATCTTCAACAACCCAGCAAGAGTGTTTTTATTTAGAAACTCATGTACTCTACATAAAATCATTAACATAAAAACATTTTTAAAAAATCACACTTTATAGGAACTACCATGAATTATGGACTCTTGTTTCTATCCTGTACAGTATATATTAAGAAGACAGAAAAGTTGCTGTTTTGCACTCGAGTAACCTTCCTACTTTAATCCCTTCAGTCTCAAACTGAATACTAAGCATACATTGCGGTTGTTATCTCACATTTCCAGATTTTCTCATGCATGCGGATTAGGTTGGCATGTATTATTCTCTGGTGAATTCAGTGGCGTTTGTAAAAACAATGACAAAACAGCTATACAGATAGCTGATATGAACTTATTTCAATATGTAGTGTACAGTAACACTGCCAAAATACCACTCCTGAGTATTACATAAATTTCTGCCAGCACATTTTAGAATATGTTTATTATCTGTAAATCATTAAAAACCACTTTTTATTTGTGACAAATTGAAAATGTATAATTTTGTGTTTTTCTTAATAATAATAATAATTATAATTATTATTATTATTATTATCATCACTATCATTATTATAATAATAAATACTTTATTTCAATACGAGAAAACTTAATTCCCCAAAGGCGTTTTTCATCAAGGCCATGCAATGTCATAAATAAAAGTGGTATAAAATCTAGAAAAATTAACACACACTGAGAAATTTAAATTTTATATTTTACTTTTTTAGTATTTTCCTTTGAATTTATGGAGATAATTATGTTTCATCACAGGAATAATATGTACTCAAATTTTTATTCCTACAGTGCCCAAAAAAATATACTTTTGGAATTGTATTTTCAAATAAAAAATAAAAACTAAGAGCGTAATTGAAAAAAAAAATACTGTACAGTTAAAAATACAAATCAGTAGCAATAACATAATCAACTATTCTGCTGATTAGGATTTCTACTCTCCTAAAGGCATACAAAATATTTTTTTGTGAAAAATAAATACATGTGGGTAGGCAGTGAAAACAGGAAATTATTATGTTATAGCACATATAACCAGTGGGAGTTACAAATAATTTGGGTGTCAACTAAATAAAGAACTACTAAGGCATTGCACTGCTTGATGTAGCAAAGAAGACATGGGAAGGGGGGGAGGGGAGGGGTTGGGAGAGAGTAAGAATATTAATATTAATGTGCATCTATACTTGAGTTATCATTAATACCCACAAGTGTGGAGGAAGAATAAATCTGAATGAAGAAAATCTGTTAATGATCAGATTTTTATATTAAACTTAAATGTTGATTACTTTGGCTTGTTTTTTTATCCACGATTAAATGTGTGTTCTTGTGAACTTTGACATGCACATTGATGTGAAGTGATCAGCAGAGAGTATAATTAGTGCTACATACTGTACGCAACACATCATTACCAACCCCGCTGCAGTTGGCGGCGTTATTAACAACATTACAGTACATTATAATATAATACTTACACAGCTTGTTCATCTAGTTCGTTGCCTATTGCTTGTCCCATATGACGGAGAACGCCCACACTATCCACCACCTGATCCAGCTGGTCATTCTGGGATTCTACAATCAACTAAAAACAAAAACAGAATTTGATCTTGAGTAAATTTAAAGTTAGTAATACAAGAGATGCAAGCAGAGATGAATATATTAATATCATACTGTACATATCAAATATATAGTATCAAACACATTTAAACTCACAAATCCATACTAAATTACATGTAAAACATTAAATAATCAAACATTAAAAATATTATCAAACTAACAATTTGTTTCTTATTCCTTTTTCAAATATTTCTTTTCTCATCCACTTCATCTCTCCTATGCAATTTTGACTCATGAATAATCTCCTATAAAATACAGTATGCAGTACTGTACACAGTACAGTACCTCCACTTCTTCCAATATTCAGTAATCTGTTTCTCCAAATTAGCTTAAAAGGGGCTTTTCAGAAGTGACTTAAATACAATTTTTTCCATCACAAAAATTCTTTTGTACATTACCGTAAAAAAAAACCACTCACAAAATGGACAAGTCACCTACGAAATTGTTAAATTATTATCAACACGATATTGCAAATTAAAGTATTTTTCTCCGAGGACTTACAACATGACGTCTTTAACAAACATTAGCATTGTTTACATTGCAATTTGCTGTCTAAATAGAAACATGACCATTCTGCCTATTGTATCAACTATGCAATTATTGTAACTAGTATACTCAAAGGCTTTCACTTGGCATCACATCTCCAAGGAGTGATTTCTTTATAACGACGCCACTCCAGGGACAAACTTTCAATACCATTTCTATTAATCGGTTCTTTGGCGGCATTATTTGTCTGACTGGCCATTAATGTTGGGGGAGATGCTGTTACATTCAATAGCAAATGATCAGTATTTCAGAATTGTGAAGGCACCAGTAAAGCAAATAATTCTATATTCAGGGTAGTTTATTCTATTTTAATGTATTTTTATATTTATTAAAATGAACAGATCACATGAAGGTTTAATATTGATAGGATAATTTCTAAAGCTTCTGAATTTTCTATGACATCTTCATATCATATGTTAATATGATGTGAAATACCTAAGAACAAATTGCATATAAAGAAGCTACAAATAACCAATTAGAAATACTAAATAAAAGTATTAAAATATTGTAGAAAAGTTTATTATAAAACAATTCCATAACTAAAAGTTTATGTCCATACGTTTTGAAATACTCAATACATTGTAGATAATTTTTTGTAATAACTTTTTAAAAATTTGTATCCATTATATTTTTAACAAATCTTAGATATTTTAAATATTTAATCTTTTCATTGTAGTTTCTGTAGTTGATATATTTATTGTGTACTTGAAATTATTATTCATCATTCATTACTTTTATGATTTTAAAGAAAAGAACAAAACATACCCTTTCATATGATCCCCTTTACATAAATAACAAAATGATTAATTGTTGTCATTTTGAGGTCATTATCTTCCATCATTTAAAAATGTACTACTGATCCCCCTTACAAGATTTTTTTGTACTTTTGTGATGATGATGAATAAATGGATGAACTCCCTCCCAACAATATATAAAGTGTGATTTTACCAAGGGAATTCCCTGTTCATCTGAGAAATTTTGATGGCTAATAAAAAAGCAATTTTCAATGCAACATTGACAATTAAACATCAATTAAAAAATAAAAGTAAAAGTCAACTAACCAAATCACATTGGGTTTACGGTCAAAAAAACATTTATACATGAATTAGGATGTAAAGTAGGGGGTGAAATAATACTTGGAGAACTATGGTATTATAATTACTTAATGAGCTCATCAGTACAGACTGGATGACAAAAACAAATTAAAGTGTTCTGTACACACTAATCATTTGGCATACAAGGTAGTCACACGTTCAGGTCTTTTATCATTTACCATGATTAATGCATTGCATTATACTGTAAACAAAAGTCATTAAAGATCTACTATCATTGGTAACTTAAATCCAAACACAGGATTTTTATTACCAAATTCAGACTGCCAAATGCAGCAGCATTTCAATCATTGCTGTTGGAATTGCATTAGAATAAGAGAAGCAATACTGTACATCTTTTTTTTCTTTTTTTCATTCTTTATATAATTTTATAAAAATTCAGTGAAAGGAGGGAGAGGTCTACAGTACGAGTTTCAATATAATCTACAGTACTGTACATGGCTATAGTATGTTGATCTAATAAACTTAAAAAGTCCTTTTGTGGAGGCCTTACTTTAAATTAGTACAATTTAATCAATTTTCAATATAGCAGGATAAAAAATTACAATCTCGAAATGAATCCCCCTCTTCAGTTTGCAAAATCAATCTTGAAAATAAAAAATGGTTAAGATTTAATAAATATTAAACTAAATTTTAAATTTCCATAGTTGAGAAATGTATAGTAGCAATTCCAAAATTTACAGCATCTTCAAAAGAAACCCTCTTCTTCAGTTTGCAAAAGCAATTTCAAATTGAAGCCCATCTTGAAAACAGGCCCATCTAGAAAAGAATGTCATCCAAGATCCTAAAAACGAAGTAGCCCAGGGCTTCTATTTGAGGTTAAATGGTATGTCAACCATAAATATATTACAAAATTATTTCTACAATGCCACTTTTTGGGGCAAGATCAGGTACTGAAAATGACTATATTTTTGTATTCAATGACATTTTAACTTATAAAAAACAGAAATGTAGCTTGCAGCTGTGTAGGAATATATGAGACTGCTTGTTAAATATGATTTTGCTTCAGATATAATCTCACAAATTGTTTAAAATACGCTGTGTGGATGCACAAATTCAGTGATGGGCGTGATTCAAACATACCCACAACCACATTCCTTCAGTCTTTCCTCAATACACACTATTGTAAACTGTTTTGAAAAGATCTTTAGAAAACCACACAAAACCAGACAGTTTCTCAAGAGTAAATAAAAAGAATACTGTATACAGTACTGTAGGTTTATCTTATTTCAAAGTACTGTGTAATCAATTTGTCTTTTTTATGACTTTCTTCAAATATTTAACATTAATTTATACTTTTCATATAATAATACATTTATAAGGCGCCAATTCCAAGAATGATCAAAGGTGCGAGCGTTATTACCCCTGGTCACTGGATAACGTACAATGGCAAACCAGCACAAAGTGCAACTTCCTCTGCTCCCTGGGGAGTATCCCTAGTCGTTCGCTACTTATTTAGTGCACAAAACTATGAACATTCAAACTCCTGGGTAGAGAGGGGCAAACGTAGATAAAGTGCCTTGAACAAGCATCACACAAGCAACTTGCACAGTGAGAGTTTCGAACCCCTGACCTCAAGGTTGGGAGTCCAAGCCACAATCGATATGCCAACCACTTCTACCAACCACTTCATATCATACAGTAAATGATCAAACGTGCGGCAAAGTACTTTAATAATTATTGGAAGCCTCAGTGTGCATACTGTATGAGATACACTTATTCAAAAGCGATTTACAAATTATTGCTGTGATATTTCAAATGCTACTACCCTATGGAATATCCTGTTGGATTAAATATATTATGACAATTATATTTTATTATGATTAAATTATTATTAACAATGAACATGAATTTACAATCATGTTGACATTTTTAGTCTAGCTCCTCAGTGGGGGCTTAGCAATAAAGTCAAATTGGGTCAATATTTTGACCTGGACCAGGATGAAAAACAAACCTTAATTATTAACACATGTGTTTTGATAATTTTAAAATTAATCCAAATACTTTAATGGAAAGAATTTCTTTCAATGGTTTGTAATGAAATACAACCATAAAATACAACAAAAATTGGCTGTATGACTCCCTTTGTATAGTACTTTTGATAATGTACTACTAATAATTTTAGGGGTTTTTTTATATTCAATTCTGTTTTTAGCTGTGGACTCACTGCTTTAATACTGTATACAACGGTGTTCCTTTCGATTCTTATATTTTTCATTGCTGTGTATTGTATTTGACCTTTTAAATGGCCTACAGTGTTATTTTAACCAGTTATGGTTAGCACAACTTGCTGAGCATTTTGGTTGTGTCCTTTGGCACTTGTTTGTCTCTCCATACTCTAGCCTACCGAAGTATAGTATCTAATTGTATAACAGTAATGAAATATTGGGGGGGGGGGGGGAAACACTGCAAAATAGACTCGTCTCTGCAGATGTGGCAGCATTGCAAACCCTCAAAGTATATTTTACAAATGTCATAGACAAATGTAATAAAATGCTAAAAAAAAAAACACAGCTGACTGCCAAAAAGCATAAAAAATTATAAATCCCATTGAATTCAACTACAATCACAAAATCTTAAAGATCAGGCTCCCAGCTAGAACATACAGTACCTCCACCTCATGCCTGAACACCAAATACTGTAATACATGCAGGGCATTTATAGGCGAGATAAGCAATTCCATTATTTTTTTGAATTTCTATGACCTTTGACCCTTTTATCCAAAATTTAAACATCTCTTCCTTAGACCCATATCTACCACTCCACTACATTTTATGATGACCCATTCATTAGTTTTTGCATAATCCTGCAGACGGACAGAAAAAACAGGGGTTATTACATAACCTCCTTGGCGGAGGTAAATATAATCTAATGACAAGCTAAAATAAACAAGGAAACATGAATATTCTAATCCCATTGTGAACCATTTATGGAGACTACAGTCTGTATGAAAGAATTAAGAAATATGCCAAAATTTTTAACAGACACTCAGAAAGCATTTCATAGTCAAATGTCAAGTCACAGTGATGGTACCACAGAAAAAATTACAAGTACAACATATGGAACCATTTTACTAAAACAAGTTCCCATAATTTCTTCGCGCTCTAGATATCAAAACAAGGAATGTTAAGAACTTGCATCCCACAGTGACAAAGTTTATCTCCCTAAATTTAATGTCAAGTGCTCTCATGGTTCTTTTGTTCATACTGTAAATTTTAAAATTTGTATACACCTACCTGTACCACATATCTAACCTTGATATTGCACCTTTATTTTAGTAGTTTAGCCTTATCATTATAATATTACT